TCAGTCTTTTGATTCTTACGGGATCGAATAATGATTGAACTTTGAAAGAAGCTGGCAACAGAAGCAATGCCCGCTTCCCTTGTGCGCTGGAACCCACGCGTGCAGCTACGGCGTCTGCGGCCCTTCGGAAGCTTGTCACAGAAACAAAGCTGGTGCAGGGTTCTTTCTTGTAGGGGACGCCGCAAAATGCAGCTTCCCTCCAAAAGTAAACAATTTTACGCTTGTACGTGCCAAACGGGGTCCCATTATCGCACGTGTTTTTTGCCAAAAGCGACATTGTTTGGTGCATCTGCTGTTAGTTTCCCTTTACAGCCACAAAGACAAGGTACCTCAAAACACGTTGAGCGCCCAGATTGCCCTGCCATGAGTTTTTGTCCATTCACAACTTGAAGGTTCAGACGTTTCATCGGGGACACCCTCCACAGTGGGTCAACATCTGTGACCATGGCGTCCCAAATTGAACTTCAGAATGTAGGGGCTGAAGCATATTGGAAATTCTTTCACACCTTATTCCCCTCCTCACTTTCAGCGCTTTCCTTGTGCCCCAACCGTCCCTACTCACCTTCCAAGCTTCACTTCGCGCGAGGACAAGTAAACCCGACGGAGGCCAACTGCCGAGAGAGACTCGGCCCTTGCCTGTGAGTCATGCGGAGGACCCATGAGAAGTCCTTTAGGATGTGCGTGTGTGTGCTTTCTGGTTGGCTTTCTGGTTGGAAACCCGCCATGTTCGTGGGTCGCCTGTGCTTTTTGAGGGTTTTCTGGTTGGACACCCGCCGTTCTCGATTTTTGGGTCCCCGTAACTGGACAGAACGGACATTCGTCAGGGGTCCTTATATGTCTTTTTCCTGGATAATACATTTCCTTTTTCTGCCATCTTGCGTTGGGCTTCCTTTGGTGAGGTGATGTTTCAAGGGGTCACACGAGCCCCGCATGAGAGCACCAGAACACAGCTTCCTGCTTGACGGTGGTGTTTTTTTGGAGTCTGCGCATCGCGCAACCCATGCTAAGGCTTGCTAAGGCTAGACGTCCAGGGCAGAGCTGACACATTAAACATATACATATATGTACATATATATATATATGATATATATATATATTATACACATGTACCATACGCACGTTACGTGTCTATATATATATATATGTAGGCATGACTATGTGCATATAATTACACAGATATACATGTTGTAATGACTAGTGTGTTCACATCAGTTTGCCACTTCAATGGATCTCGTGACAGCCTTTGAGTTGCGTCTTCTTTGCGGGTTGCAGGCCGGCCTTTTGGCCTAGTGCCTGCTCGTGGTTGTCAAGGCGTGCGTGGAGGGGAGGGGTTATCAGAGGGGTCGAGTTTGGTCGCGTTCGTTTCGGACCTCTAGCTGAAGGTCTTGAAGAAAAGCTCTCGTGGTGTCCTTTCCAGAGGGCATGAGAATCCTTGGAGCCTTGGTACAATTGCCATCCGTTTTGCTACGTGTGACTAGACATAACAAATGTCCAGCGTTCTTTCCGTCTTCAACTTCGCGGCATCGCAGGAATTGTGATAAAACACGCAAGGGCAATTGTCAAAAACTAGGGCCCTTGTTGGAATGTCCCTTTTGGCTTGGGGAAATGAGTGGACCATAGGGTTGTCTTGGGTTTCCTAAAATGAGCTACTGGTACGGGGGATGCCCACCAACCATTGTCAACCACAAATCCATGGCAAATTACGAAACCCCTCTTTTTTAAGCAACAGAACAAGGAAGCCCTCTATTTTCCGCTGCACCTTGGATAGTTTTCAGGCAAAGGTGAGTGCCAATCGGAGGGAACCCCCCCCCCCTCCCCAAAAAGGCAGCAACATCGCCACAAACTCCGGCGGAGATGTTCCTGTGGCCCTCAAAAGGAATGCCATTCAACAGAATTTTGGTGAGGAGACAAGCCCAAAAAGAAAAAGGGTAGAGGAAAGTCCTACTTTAGGAACGAGGAAACTTAAAGTGTTTCGACCCATGCTTGAAACAAATCCAGTGTCCCTTCCAGGTGGTACCCCAAAGCAGACTTGCGGGATCCCTCGGGTTGATTTGCCGAACGACCCTGAAGTCGACCTTATAAAGCCTTGAAATTGTGGAAAACAACGCATGATTCTTCATGATTCTGACTAGGTCCCCCAGTAGTGCCCTTCTCTCCCCTTTTTTGGGGGGAGGGTTCCTCTACTACAATAGACTACAGAAAAAAGTTGGTACCCTTATTCTAAGCTCTACTGGAGGACCTTGAGGGAATCCCGCTTTCTGGAAGAAGGGATTCCGAGATTCCGACTGGACCCTGCCAGGGGCCCAAGGGAGTTCGCCCGAGGTGTACGAAACCAAGCGCCGCGGATGTGTGGAGAGGCGACCGACCTGAGCCGTGCCTTGGCATTCGGAGTGGCATGTTGTGTTTCTTCCGTTTGCTTAAGTTGTTTTTCCTTTACAAAAACAAGGCCCCGGCTGATTTTAAAAGGAATCTACCACTACTGGACATATTTTCCCAGATTTTCCTGGAGACTTAAGCACATGGAGGCTGGAGTTTAGAAACTGGTGAATTTTGTTCAGGGTTTCCTCTATTTCTCTTTTTGGAACCTCCAACAGTGGAAACTTTTGAAGGGGAACTCCAGTGACCTGTGAAAAATTTGGAGTTTTTGGCTGGACACCATGAAAAAAAGTGCTATTCCTTTATTAGCAGCTTTCACTCAACCGGAAACAAAAAACCACATAGGGCGAACCCCTGAGTCTAGATCAAGACAACCTGAAGAGTCCAGTCCAGCCATTGGGGTTCGATCCGCAAGATCTTTCTGCTAGATCGAGGTGGTTTCCCTTGGTGTAGTGGTGTCCCGCGTCGGGCGTGCGTGTGTGCGGTCGTCCGTGGCAGTTCGGCTCAGGCTACTCCAACCCTTGCCTCAGCCGGATGGCGCAAGATCGGACGACCAATGGCGGGTTCTTCGCCGGGCCCGGGCCCCAGTCTTTCGACTTTTCTTCCCCAGAACGAGTTCCCCTGTTTATTATTGTTCTTTTTTGGGGTTCCCGTTGTTTCCACCAACCGGGCATTCATGTTTTTTTTTTTTCTTTCTGGGGTCCGAATTCCAGCCAAGTTTTGAGCCGCAATGAAAACCCGGGTAAGTTAGTAAGGGACGATCCCAGCCATAGATAGCTTCGGCTGCCTTCTCAGTTCTTTACATGGTTCTGGGTAGACCATTTTTGTACCGGGTTTTGACTGTGACTCATGTGGATCTTCCGGTGCTCATTATGACCCCTCCCAAGACGGCGTGCGGATCTCCTTTGAACACCCCCATGAATCAAGCAAAACACCATGGCTTGGGTCTCCTATGAATCAACCCTTGCTTCATCAGGGCTCCTTCAAAGATACATGTTGCAACCATTTGAAGCATGTTGCTTTTTCAACACCAACATAAAGGAAAACCACCATGGACAAGGCAATGTCCAGGTGTAAGGATCCCTGTTCATCTTCCAGATCTGAACTGCCTCGTGCCGCTTCCTCGCATCTCGGGCTTGGGTTTCCATGCGGTCTAGGGTCGCACCTTGAGAATGACCTCAGAGGAATAGCCTGGCCTCATCATTTTACCGTGGTCAAAGTCGGCCCCTAAGTGGGTTAAAGGGAAACAAGCCCCATGTCTGACTTTGATAAGCCCTGGAAGCGGTCAAAATGAGGACCCCTGAGAACGCGGATGATTTTTGATCGGGGGTCTCCTTTTTCGGGGTTCACTTCAGGGGCCAGGGGGCCCGCCAAATAGGACGGGTTCTACTGAGAGAGCTGAGGAGTGTGCTGCCAGCCCTGAAGCTGAACAAGTGAGTAGCTTCGAATTTAATGCGATGCGCGTCGCATCGTTTTTCATCCGGGATTGACCAGGAAACCGAAGCGAACATATCACACTTGGAGGTCCCCCCGGCGAGCCTTCCGTCGAAGACCAGGCCCACAGAGTTAGAGCCGACGCTTCCAGCCAAGTTGGCGCGCGGTGGAAATGATGCCGTATTATTCTTGTGAGTGTTTCTCAAACTGGTGGACCCCCTTTCGGTTGGTATCTAAAAGGCAAACCAGACGGAAACCAACATTTCTAGGGACGCCATGTTAGGCTTGGTCAGAATTACTGGCAACTAGTAGTGTACGCTTCGTTCGCTTGGGAGGGGCTAGGGGGAACTCGCCGAATTCTCCCTAAAACCAGGGACTCGCTCATTTTCCCGCGTCTTGTTGGGGAAGCAAGTAATTTTGACCATGGCATATACGCAGATGTTTCATAGGGCGGGGGGAAGGAGAGGAGGGTGGAGGGAGCCCATGTTTGGTCTGACGGAAGTTCCTGGAAGTACCCTTTGGTGCATGTTGCTTGAAGGTTAGGACTTCAACTTTTTGCCAACATATGGGTTTTCCATTAAATCACTAGAAGTTAAACTTTTAGCAGGGGAGCAGAAAGCATTCCCTCGTGGCTCAAGGGAATGGGGTAAGGACGGATGTGATTCGATTCCTTCAAAGAGTCAAGGGCGTAAACAACAGTCTGGGCAAAAGCCCTGAGATGGCACGCATGTTGAAAAACCAACCCTTCTTCCATATGGCTGTGGGTCAAAACCAATGGTACCATTGTGGGGTAGGTGCACCACCCATTTTAGTCTATTTTAGTGGTTTGATTGGGATGTTCACTGGGGGTACGATTTGGATTTTGACCCATTGCCATATCATGAGACGGCGTGCATTTGGAGCAGTGGTCCGGCATAGACACAGGTTGCCGAGATTGATAAGTTCCAGATGCGGCGCATAGCCAACACGACGGAACACAGAATCAACCGGATCAATGCAGAAACAACCAGGAAGAGCAACGTAGAACCACGCGAAACACTACACCAAGCAAGCCAGCGAGTAGATCTGCACCAGAACTCACTCACGCCAATTGTGTGTGTGTGTCTCAAAATAGGAATTTGGACTCTAAGTGGTTTTCCTTTTGGTTTCCCTTTTGCACCAGGCTGAGAAGGGTACCCTTAAGACACAAG